AATCACGAACCTGAAAATATTCATATTCTATGATGTTATTCTCAATAAAAGATAGAATTATTATATTGTTATGGATCTGGTAAAAAATTAATGATAGCAAATTCCATGTAATTTGGGTAATCAGGTACCCAGGCACTCATTACAACTTTCATTTCAGTTTTTGACACATTCAATTTTCCACAGTAACTGCCATTGTTACGCCGGCCGTAGTCATTGATGAACACTGAGTTCAAATCGGATCGCAGACAATGCATTCGAAGCAGGTGGTAATTGGGATTTCAGGTGAATGGCTTTATGAGACAAAAATCACATTCAGAATGAGAATAAACGGAGCCGACAACAACGTACGTCGTCAGTGACGGTCGTAAAGGAACAATCGAGTGATGCGGCAACATGAGTGGCCGGTTGAATCTTTTGCAGTTGTGCCAGCACGACCGGAAGATGCATTTCAACGTTTTCGATTAACATCGATCTGGCGAACAACAGTGCTGGTAGTGTGGTGAATGCTATTAAATCGATCACACGCACCTGAAAATTCCAAAAATTATTTCTTTAAATGTTCAATCATCAGTTCGAGAACATAATGAATTTGATTCGTTCGCGTTGCCGGTTCGGTTCACCAATATTATGTGACGGCGATGATTTCAGTTGGTATTGAGAGAGGACTGATCACTAGTATTTCAATGATGTGAACTAATCATTTTGAGTTCTAAACCATTGAGACGGAAGGAGCTTCGTTCGACATCTCAACTAACACATAAATGACAGTTACTGTTTCAGTAGCACTCGTTATATCTGTCAGGTGGATATTGACTCAACATTACATGGATATTATTCACTACTCAGAAAATGATATCCGTAATTACTTACAGATATCACGCAGTTGATAAGTGCTTTTATAACTTTTAGGGATTATCATTTAGTCAAGAAATCCTTTTGGATGAGAATGCTCTCGTTCACGGAATGCTGCTATTACAGATTAGACTTACGGTGGAGATATAAGCACATTTCTGTGGTGATGTCTTGAGCAGTAGAAAGAAACACGATGTTGACAGTGCAACACACATACTGCCGACGGTCATCCACATATTTTTTCGATACTGAAATTTTGATTTTGATAGCATTATAAATTAGGTTTTATTTGATACATATGTACGTGAAAAAATGTCTATTACTTACTTTCATGATTGAACAATTTTGTTAGGATTTTCTTTAAGCAACTAACTATTAAGTCATCCATCAGATCAGACACCATGATAATTCATTATGGTTTCATGTTTCTCTATCTTCTATCATTAATAATTATTAACAATAATTAAATTTTTCATTCGCTGAAATCTTCTTGCTGCCCTAATAGCAGTTGACGATACGGGTCCAAGAAATCATCCTTATTCATGGAAGTCTAATCTTGTTCATCGTGAATATGATATGAATATAGCTCGAAATATAATTTTATTCACAAGCAAAAAGAGTGAATAAATAAAAGATGCAGTGTAGAATGGACGAACATCAGCGAGGATATCGAGTTGATGTCGAAGCGGATAGGATTGCGTTTGGGTTGCCTTTATATCGACAATATCACCGTAATCCATCAGAGCGCTGAATGTGTTCAAGAAAGCACTCATATACAGCATATGCGAGACGGCCATTATGAATAATGCCATCAGTTTAAGGTATTGTGCGTATATCCACTGAAATTTAGTCTTAAAACAGCAATGATACTAATCAAAATCATGATTATAATAAAACTTATGAAAATTTACTAATAATACTTCATCATCTCATCTTATTGAACACCGTTCAACATTCCAGTTCCTTGGCAAATGTTAACGAAACCGAAGACTATGATTACAACGAAGCCTTCTAGAGCCTTACAGATAACGAATACAACTGAGGATTTTTTGAATCACACTTGATCCATCATATTTCATAAATCCATCTCTTATCTAGACTTGTCTAGAGATCATCACAGCCTTCGTGTTCGATTGAAAATTATTGATAATAGTGAAAACCTACTTGATTCTCAATGACAGCACGGAATATCGGATTACATTTTGTTGATGGCTCATGTTGCTCTTGTGATTCAGAGACAGATCGAGTTCGACTGTTATCGTTAATAATATCAGCGTTGCTATTACCACCGCACAGTTGGAATCGTTTCTGGGTGCATTGAGCGAATGTTGCCGCAAGAGATGGCATCTTATCAGTTCGTTCGTTCACTTGATTTAAAAAACTGCAATTCGTTCTCGTCGAATAAGCTTTTGGTCTGAAACACATTTCGGTTATTTAAAAATTGTTTTGACGATATATTCATGACTCAAACGACTGAATTAAAGTTCTTAACAATCTTAACATCGAGCTTTTAGATTACTTCCACGGTTACTCGATAGTGGAAATGTCTAACGGTGGGTGAGCAAACTTATAGGTGCATAAACTTGAAATGACGATCAGCGGAATGTTTAGAGTCAATTTTCTCGATCTAAAACAATTCGACAGTGAAACGATTCCGTAGAATACGGAACAGTCAAGTACCGGTGCAAATGACGTCAGGTGCAAACTTCAGTAAACAATTGATAAGATAACAGAGCGAAGAGAAGCAGTGGTATTGATTGATCGTGCACACCCAACTCTCGTTAGCACGGCTACTAAGTCATAAAACTTATTTTTATCAGCTGTATCTCTTATCATTATCAATACAGATCAATGGTTTTATCAACGGAAAAGTAAATGAATCAAACGAACAGACCAAACAGGGGTTAGCACTCAGAAATTAAGTGTTCCCCAGAATGACTGGAAGATGTGAACGTCGAAGAATTCCTTCTGATACTGACGATGGAATACCCTAACAATTTGTGGAAAGGCATTAATCTAATAATAAGGTCAACTAGCAACCCGACAATCCAACCAATCAAGCAACTCAAATCAACCGAACACACTTAACTTCATAATTCAATTCGTCCATCCTCTCATGGCCATGTAAACGCAGACATAACTTCGTACCAGTACACTCGTATAGCTGAATCTGACGCATTGCATTGAAATATTCCACAAAATCAATTTTCAACGCACTACTTTAGTCACTCAAGATATCATTATTACTATTATTATAATCGTAGCTTCTATTTCTTTCCTTATTCATACTAAAACTACAGCTAACTTTGCTCTTTTCGTAAAGATATTCAGAGGGAATACAATAAAAAGTATTTTCTAACGAGACCATTAATTATGCCCAAATGAGAAAATATGGGAGTGCTACAGAACCGTTTCAAATGCAACAACTGATCGTTATTAATGGATGCATAAACGAAACCAGCTAACGTTTCAGTTCCGTTTTAAATCTGACTATATCTGAGATAACAATGATTATTTATTACAGAGATAAGGGCAGCTAACTGTAAAAATAGTACTAAATCCAATAGTGGGTAGCAGCCTCAGCACTAACAATAACACTACGATAACACATCGAGAGAAAACTTATTCATATTAAATTACATACAG